ATTGAAAATAGGCTGAAGTAGACTGGTAAAATCTGTTCCAAATAATTCAATACCGTACATGTTAGCTTTAACAAGCACACAGCGTTTGTAATTTTCCATAGGGAGGACCTGCTTGCCTTCGGTGCCAAAGCCTTGATGAAGTTTATTCGATTGCGAAGGATTTCTTTTGTTTTTGCGTCATGAATGGTAAACTGGCCTTTCTTGTTAATCCATACTCCCAGGAAGCGAGCAACGTTGACCTCTGGTATGTTTTCATGATCAATCTTTGGCAGACGTGTAGAAGGCATGATTTGGAAGCCGATAGAGAAAAAATTACAGTATTCACCGCGTCAACAGCATTCGAATGATGTCGACGTACAGTTGGTTGTTGTTTGGACGACGCAACCAGAACAATGTCGTCAGCGTACACTAGAATGCGGATATTCTAAATAATAAATACTGTATTCATAGCTACACACTTAGAAATATGTAATTTTACACGTGATGAAATCCATCTTTGACATAAAGGATGAGACGTAAACAAACATGTCATGTAAAATTAGGTGCTTCGAGACTGAAAAGTTCGGTACTCGACGAAAAGAACGTTTGATAGAGCTGAATTGCGCGTCTATTATTACTAAATTTTATGTCAAAATTGACGCTCGTATATGTCAGTCTCAGGGCACCTAAATTTACATGAATTTTTCTAAGTGTGTAGTAAACATAACGTTACTGCTAGTACCGAGCCTTGAAAGACGCCATTGTCTTGAGTTTGAATGAATATGAACCACCGTAGCTGACACAAAATCGAAGATTTTTAAGGAATTCAGTGATACAAATTTTAACACGGTGCCCAACATTGAGTTGATTAAGTTGATTTAATATATGTGGGCGCCAAGTTTGATCATAACGGATTGATGACAAAATGCGAGCAGTACAACTTTTAAATATTATTTACTTTGTTTTTTTTTTAAGAAAAACTTACTGTTCGACACCTGTTTTTAAGCATTTTGACGTAGGACAACGTCTGTGATTTTTATATGGGGGCACACTTTGTGAAAATCGAAAATGGAACATGTAACAAAATTATGAAAGATTTTGAACGTTAATAACTCAGCTGACCCTGGACAAATTTCAATAATTTTATCACCAATCGATCAGAAATATTCCTACGCATCTGTTTAATTCAAGACTTTATAATTGTTAAAAATGTCACTATTGAAAAATGCACGAATGTTCAACTGTTGCTATGATAATTAAAATTATCACCGATTGTCTGCGAAAAGCGATTTCACTAACACAGATTTCAAAGTTGAATTGCATCCGGTCTCACCAAACGGTGCTTATTCAATCACCGCGGGGTGAGTGGTGGTGTTCTCCAGTACACAACGAAAGACCGCGGAGCTTGAAAATTTATCTGGAGGGGGGAGGGGGCTGTTTTATTTATTTTATTTTGCTAAACTACGGTTAAACAAAAACTCTTGAAGATGTTATTCAATCAAATTGTGTCAAGGCAACTTTTTGTTTGGTATTACCAATAATATGACATTGAGCCTTAGTATTATTTTAATGGTGAAACAATAAATTTGACTATATTTATTTCATAACAACGATTGGGACCTCGATTGGGGGAGCTTTAAAAGCTTATTTTTAGCATTTACCTGAAATTCAAATCACAATAAAAATTCCCTTTAGAATATTGGAATGTCCAAGACTAAAATTTATTTTGCCATTCTGGACTCGAAATTAAAAAAAAAAAAAAAAAAACAATGTGAGATCTCTTGATGGGTCTTTAGATCTTTTCTAGATTCAAGACTAGACATTTTCGTAATTCTGTATTTTGATTTTATGACGTTAAGACATTAAAAGAAATAAGTATCTCAGACTTTTGGGACTTTCTCTAAAAATATTAAAGATGAACTGAGCTCAATTTTAATGAAAATCTCTAGGGCTTGGACATTGATTTTTAGATTTTAGTTATAATCAGGGCTGGTAGTGGGTATGTGATGTAATAGTAATGACTTTAGTGACTAAAATTACAAAAATAGTGACCAAATAGTGACTTTTAAACAAAAATAAAGTGACCAATAGTGACATTTATTGAGATATGGTTCCAATCATCCGTTATTCCAGTATTTTTCATGCTTTTTAAAAATAAAACTAATGATTTAAGGATCACATAAATTTGTTATCGAAACATAAGTATGAATTGAATAAGCAAGAGCACGTTCCAATTCTAACCTCCATTTCCTCACTCTGCTGATTACGAATTTATTATTAGATCGCGAAATAGAGACACGGAGAAAAATGTTCAAAGTACCGATTTTAGACATCAATTTTTGAAGATATAGGATATATATATGAAGCAATGCATTTAGCAACATGAAGAACTGCAGTCTAGAATTAAATGTACTTAGATCTAAGTTAGCAATGAGTATATTAATAAAAGATCCTTCTCTTCTTTGTAGTCGCTATAACGAACAGGTCGTCTTTTCACTTTGCTCCATTCCTCCCAAGAATATAATCTTCTATAACACCTCAAACCAGGGTTACTTCCACTCACTTTGCTATAACAAATGTTTTTCGGAATTATGGAATCATTGGATGCTATTATGAAAGTTTGTACTTGTCAGAAATAAGAAGAGGTTGGAAGGTATGTATTTGACACATAAAACCTGTCAATTTCGTTTTCAGTGCGTCACAATCAGTGAATTTAAACTCGTGAGCGTTCACTCAGAGTGAGCGCTCACGAATCGTAAAATCACTTATTGTGACGCACTGAAAGCAATAATGACAGGTTTTATGTGTCAAACACCTAGTTTACCACCTTATCTTGTGGCTTACAGCTACTAACTATCATTATAATATCTAATGATTTCATGATTCCGAAAAACAATTTTTTTATAGCAAGTGAGTGGAAGCAAGCCTGTCTCAAACATAGAAAAGAATCATAACTCTGCGACAGCTTTTCTAGATCGCAGTATAAGAAAAAATCTCATTACTATGGCATGAGAAAAATTTTCCCAGATGGAATGATCACGGGCATAAAACACAATTGAACGCGTCTAGGACTTAAAATATCGATCGTGAAATATTAGAGATTTAGGAATACATTTTAGAGTTTAAAAAAAATCTAAGACCTGGACTTGGAATTTTTAGTTTTGTATTACCGGAACATTAGTATGGAAAAAATACAATACAATTTAATGGACTTAAAAGGGAACTCAAAGATCTGTGACATGATTTTTTTCTTGAAGTTTGAACGGATACTAAAGCTACCCAGGGTCAAAGATTATTCAAATTTCTGGCCTGTGAACAAATGTTGCGAGCTAGAAAATTTTCCTAGATCATTTTTTGACATTATACATTGAACCAACGAGAAAGGTAATTTTTACCTGAAAATTCAGGTAATGAATTCCAATGGATTCACTGGTCCAGTCAACATGTCATGCTGGTGAAGGTTAAGAGAAATTCACTTAAGTTTTTCGTGATTTCATGGTATGAAAATTTTCTCGTCGTATTCATATTTAAAAAATGGCGATGGAAGAAAGTGCACATTCCTCGTTGTTGGACGAGTTGGAATTCCAAAACTTTTTCATGTTTTCAAGCGTAAGTTTTATATTTTTTTTAATAATTAACACTCAATTATAAATTAAAAATAAAATTGCAGAATATGAGTAAATTTCAATTTTTCTAGAATGCAATCATTTCATAATTCAAATAAATCGAAATATATATCTATAGTCTATCACCATATTCACTTTATCATTACTACAAAATCCAGTAACATCTACTTGCTAATTCCCGTAACTTTTAAGTGATGCCAATTTGAACCACTCAGATGTACTCTCTCCCCCAAAACACGAAATATTGATGAAGTATGATGCAAAATATGTACGTGCCTAATTAGGTGAATTTTACGTAACTTTTCGTTGCAGTGCAGGCTTGGATAACTTTCAAGATCTCAATGTAAAACAACCAGAATATTGGGTCTAGAGCTTTTTTTTTTGAAATCTCTGAAAATTTATGATAGGTCTATGACAATTTCAAGATAAAAATAAATAAAATATTAGATTTCGTGAACATTAAACGTTTCCATATGTTCGCAGCTCTTCTTGTCATACTTTACTCTGAGTTTTTAAAGTTAAATTATTTACTCTCAACATTGGTCGTAAAAAAGTGACTTTAGTGACTAAATTTTAAGAAATAGTGACTTAAGTGACTTTTTGATGAAAAAAGTGACTTTTTAGTGACCGACATGAAAATAGTGACCAAGTAACTAAAAAGTGACCTGCTACCAGCCCTGTATAATATAAATCTAACTCATCCCGAAATTCTACGATTTTTTTTAGAAATTTTGACAAAACACGGAACATGAGAAGCATTGAGCAGATTGTTCCACCCTTCTATACGCTCGTTGCAGTTTTTCGCTTTTGCTAATTAAATTACTCGCTGGCAGCCAAAACCATTCTCCGAACGTTCCTCTTTGCACTCATGTTTTGCATATTTGCTTAATGCCGTAAACACGTTTTTATGTGTATATGTACGTAAACAGCATCATTGCTGGGTTGTGTTCTGCTGTGGCATTTCAGAGAGTTATGAGTGCACGCTCATAGGGTAGGCCTACCATCATCCATCAGATTCCGATGGAACGCTTTATGAAATTTTGCCGACTTTTACCTTGCTGCTGCTTGATCGTTCTTCTCGCTCCCGAAACGCCACTTTCTCAGCGAGCCAGCAGCCGTGTCGCCGTGAAGATCCATCAACAACTCACTCTCGCAGCATGCCTTATCAGTAGACTAGGTAGGTTCGAGATCACCGCTTATGATCATCGTCGCTCAGTTCCAACCGAGCGAACGCGAGAATGAGAGCACGTGCTTGTTTGCGATCGTGCGTGGGGCTACTCACTCTCCTATTCGGTGGTGAGTTCTCCACCACCCAACCAGCCGTAGCAGCACTGTTGATGGGGAACACCGCACTACTCGGCTCCCGGTACGATCAGTGACTTTCATTTGCTCGTTCGGAAAGCTCGTATTTGGCTCTCTTTCGAATCTTGTGTTTGTGTTTTACCATTTCGAAGGCAAGTTTTGATAGACAATAATTAGCTTGTAGCAGTCAGTATATTGTTGGAATAGATTCGGTGTGTGTTTGGGTCCATAGGCCCATTGCATTGCATTGTGTGGTGAGCTGAACTGGAATTTAAAGCGCGAGTGCCGTAAACCCGGGTGTTTCCCCATCAATTCCGCGCCGGAGGAAGCTCTGGATTGGGGTTCCTCGGTTCCAATTTTTTTTTTGCGTACTTTCCTCTGCAGTCTGTGCATGGGATGGAAAATGCGCAGGAAGGAAATAAGGAAAAGAAGTCAGCGCCGCCGCCGCCGCCGCCGATGGCGTGTTTGATGTGCTCTGGATAGTGCAACCGATCGACCGGGCGGGCTGCGGCCAGCGTGCGTGTGTGTGGAAGCCCATACTGGTTGTGTGTTGTGCATTAAAATTGCAAGAAGAGGCGAAATTATTATGCGAATTATCTCCGCAGAACCTGGAAGAAAAGCTTGTGGTGTGTGTGTGTGGTTGGTGTGCTAATTTTCGGTTCGCGGAGCCTGTGTGTGCTGTGCAATAAACTGTTATTGATGGAGAGACGGGTTATTTATGCTCCGAGAACCGATTGCGGAATGCGAACGACATGGTGGAGGAGGCGTGAAGGATTTCTGATGGTGCATAAATGAAATGAGCTCGCGAGGATGCGTCCACTCGGGAGTGGAAAATTGCGGCAATTGAATTTTATATCCGCAGATGACCAGTTTCCCGGGCCTTCAATCACGGCATTGTTAGGGATACAGTGCATCATGTAGAGTCGGATGTTTGCTCGAAGCATTACGCGGTTTTAGCTTTCTGCTAATAGCAGTTGATTTTTTTTTTGTATTAGAATTTCTAGTATTGCATTGCGTACTCATGTAGAACGACGAGTCCGTCGTTAAATCTACCCTCACGTAAGTACGTGCGTATCTAAATGTTGTTGATCTACATGAAAACATTTTTGGGTGGCAAAGTGACGAGGTTGTGAGTAGGGTTTCAAACATTGTCAACAGTATCTGTAGCCTAGAATGGTGTTTTTTTATGTTTAAGAAGTTCACTTTATTTAAAAGACGAATTGATGTTGGAAAACTTACACTTGAACCAATGGAAACTCAGAAAACGCTAAGGGTTAACAGAAATAAAAAAACCCAGGAGTTAAATAGTCCAATGTTATTATAAACATACTGCACACAAATAGGAACAAGACAAAAACATCTAGGGTAGATGTACCAGTCAAAGCAGTACGTTCCTATTATGGTGTGTTCCAATTATAACCTGTGAGAATCCCATAGGTAGGCCATAACTGGAGCACACCATAATAGGATCGCAAAATCATAGCTGGAACACCTACCCTAGTTCCTTTTTATCACGATTTTTATAATTTTTATTTCTTGAAACATCGTTGTTGTCTAGTCGATCGGAAAAAAGTTATGAGAATTTTTCAAGGTTCTCAAAACATGACTTGAGTTTTATACAAGCACAATTTTCACAATCTTACAGGGAGGTATTAAATGCAGAAGAATTAATTGCTTGCTTTCAGAAGACATCCAGGCCAAATCATTGATGTAGGGAAAAGTGGGGCAATACACAGTAAAAAATAAATTTTAATATTACATCCCAGAGGATGCACTTCAATTATGTCGAAAATTTCATGTAATTTTTATGGTCACAAAAAAAAAAATGTAGTTGAAGCAGCGTAATGCCAGTTCATGCACTATATTAATGATAATTTGGTCTTTTTTTGGCAAGTAATTGGGTTAACTACCCCATTCTCGCACTTAGTCTTTCTTTATCTAGCGTAGTTTAGCGCCAAACGGAATGTTATTATTACAGATGGCTTCCAAATGTATTTACCTTTCCATATGTACCGTTTGTTCTTATAAGGGGTCGCGTAATGTTCGTTTATTGTTGAAAATGCAAAACGGCTTCTGGCGGCTCAACTTGGCCTACGGATTTTCTTGGGCCTATTAGCCATTGAAATGCCATTGGGAATCTCTTTGGCCTATCGAACGGAAAGAAAAGTAAATACGCGTGCGCCTTTTGTACACTTCAAGTGTGCCTTTTGTTATCGAGATCTTTTTTTTTTTGCATTCTTCAATGCTTTGTCTTGCAGATGTTGAATAGAAGCATCGTATCAAACGTTTGTTGACACGTTCACGCCGTTATCATGGATATATTTGATGTTTTGTGTTCGATGGTCCGGGAATGGGCGATTAGGCCGAAGCAGATTTCCCCCCTATTGAAGTGCATCCACTTTGATGTGATATCAAAATTAATTTTTTGCTGTGGGTCAATGGGGCAATGTGGTCACCCGCTTAAAAATCAACTTATTTATTGAACATATTAAAAATAAACTGTTGCAGGCTTAATGCTTGAAGCCTATTTCATTTAAGTCTACCAAAATACTTTTTTTTCCAGAGCAAATATTTGAAAAATATTAGACTAGCTCAAAATGTCAAAACTGTTATAAGATTTCTGAATCAGAAAATATGGTCGATCAGTAGTTTCTTATAACTAATCGTTGATATTCCTTAAGCAGCTTTATAAATGGTCATTGGTTTCTTATATACATGATATTTTTCTAGATAAAAACATTAAAAAATTTCTTAACAAAATTTTACTTAAGTCCATTCATAAATTCCTTTCATAAATATGGCTGTATCATATGAAATCACGTTTTGAAACAGCTGCTTTGGTAAAACATCAGTCATTACGAAGACTGAAAAAATATCCTTAAATAGGCAGTACTTTTGAAATTTAATTTATTGTACAGAAAATAATTCTTTCTGTTAAATCTCTTTATGCTAAAACTGTTCATTGTTGACCCTTCAGAAAGCCTCAAGAGAGCATCATATTCTTACCCGTTGTTAACAAGGTCGTTCATACTACCCCGACAGGGTGTTCATTTTACCCCAACGAACGGTTGAATTTTGGTTACAAAACGAACATTTTTTAAATCTTCTTGCATGAGATTCAAAACTTTACTTTTATTTAATACTAGCTGAACCCCGTGCGAGCGTTGCTACGCTTACAACTAAATGAACGAAAATTTAATAGAATACCTATGCAGAAATGTCTGTTCCATTTGTATAGGAGCCCCCCGCCCCTTAAAGAGGAGGAAGGGGTCTCGAACCTTTCCCGCCCCCAGAAACTTCTGCATACAAATTTTCACGCTGATCGGTTCGGTAGTTTCCGAGTCTATAAGGGTCCGACAGATAGACAGAAATTCATTTTTTATAGATATAGATTCAAATTGTATTCATGATGTTAAAAGGGCTTGGAACTATCCATTTGGTTAAATATCAATTGAATTTTCCACTGAATTTTGTATGATTAGTGATGATTTTCTTAAAGGGTGTCCACGATGAAATTGCCACACACAAAATTGATTCGCAAAATTCGAGTTTTCATCCGATTGCCATCAAATTTTCAGGGATTGAGAAATAACTATTAAACTTCATTTTACCATTTTACTCGTATTTTATTTACAGTCCATACGCAAATGCCCGCACCTTGGCCTTAACCCCGGCCATAAGATTCTGCACAACCTGTGAATCAACCGTTTTTTGCATGTAAACCCATACTTTCTTCAGTTCCTCGACTGTCTTCACTACCTTAGATCGTTTAAGAAGGTGCTGCTTCATAATCGCCCAGTACTTCTCGATGGGGCGGAGCTCCGGAGTGTTGGGAGGGTTGAACATTTTCGGCACGAAATTGACCTTATTGTCCGCATACCACTTCAGCACGTCCTTGGAGTAGTGGCATGAGGCCAAATCCGGCCAGAAGATTGTTGGGACGTTGTGGGCCTTCAGGAGAGGAAGCAGCCGCTTCTGGAGGCACTCTTTTATGTACACCTGTCCGTTCATCGTGTCCTGGGTCACGAAAGGTGCACTCCGCTTCCCGCACGTGCAGATGGCTTGCCAAACCAGGAATTTCTTCGCAACTTTGGACATCTTCTGAGTGCGGACATGCTCCGGAACGCTGAACTTATCCTTGGCCGTGAAAAACAGGTTGCCGGGGATCTGTTTGAAGTCGGCCTTTACATATGTTTCGTCGTCCATGATGCAGCATTCAAATTTCGTCAGCATGTTGAGGTACAACTTCCTGGCACTGGTTTTGGCGGACTTGTTCTGCTTCTCGTCGTGATTAGGGGCCTTTTGTACCTTGAACGTTCGAAGCCCAGCCTTAGTTTTGGCCTTCTGGACAAAACTTCGGCTTAGGTGCAGCTTCTTAGCCACATCCCTAACGGAGGCGTTCGGATTTCGGTTGAAGGCCCCAACTACGCGGTTGTGATTTTTGGTGTTGTACGGAATACTTTTTCCTTCACTTCTGGGCTTCCGATCGGTGGTCAACCGTTCCTCGAACCGCTTAATCACTCGCGACACCGTGGAATTCGCGATTCCCAACGTTTTAGCGATGGAACGATGCGAGAGATCCTTGTTCTCGTGATGAATGCGCAAGATTTTATCGCGCACGAGCTGTTCTTTCGACTCCATTTCCGCGAGTTTTGATCACAGGACTTTAAAACTTGCAGGATGTAAATAATGCACTATGAACTAAATCCACCCAAATTTTCATTAAATTCTACCCAACGGTTAAAAAGTAAGAGCAATTTCATAGTGTGGCAATTTCATCGTGGACATCCTTTAAGGTGGCCAAACTGCCCCACCTTCCCCTATTGATCGAATTGCAATTCGTAAATCTTCAAGGGATAATGCTGTTACTTTTTTAATTATGAACTTCAGATCGGATCGGTCAGAATTTTTCAGTTGGTGGAAAATGACCTCCAAATCTCCTGCTCCTTGCTTTGTAGCCCACGTACTTATTCCTAAATTTTGCTTTGATTTTCTCTCGATAATTTCATTCGATTTTTAGAACCGCGGTTTCAACAGTAGGTAACACCCATTTGTATATCTCTGAGTTTTTCAAAATCGCAATTCTGGATCCCGAGATATGCATGACCTAAAGCTTGCAATTACTTCCAACAAGATTTTTATCCTACAGGTC